CCTGTGCGCTCCTGCAGGAAACGACCACTAACAACAGACTGATTTCTCTTTCTTCTTGCCACAGCATCACATGGACCCCTCCAGCAACTTCTGCAACTACCGAACCGCCCTCCAAGGTGCCGCCCAGCGATCCCAGACGGCCCACAGCAGCCGGGAGAAGATCGTCATCCCCGTCTTCAACCTCTTCATCAAGGATATCTTCTTCCTGCACAAAATCCACACCAACCACTTACCCAGCGGCCAGATCAACTTCAAAGTAAGCAAAGGGTTCCTGGCAGAGCAACGCCGTGTCGCAATTAAGCACCGGGCGTGGTAGGCCGGGAAAACACGCACACGTCTCTCCAAGCCAAACAAGACGAAGGGGAAGTTGAGGCGCCGCAGCTTTTCCAAGCCGGCCTGTTTGCCTCGCGTGCTTCCGGGACGGGGGCGTCTCTGCCGATCGGGCGGTGCTCGCCCCAAGTTAGAGCAGTCGGCTAAGGACAATGATGACTCAATGTAAAAGTCAGGTCCGGTGGTGGTGGAAAGTGCCACCGAGTTGAGTTTCCAAGGCAAGAGACATTTGGAGGGGGCTTGCTGTTTCCTGCCTCTGCATAGCAACCCTGGGCTTCCCTGGTGGTCTCCCATCCAAATACTCACCAGGGCTGGCCCTACTTAGCTTGGGATTGGGGGGGGGGGGGCTCCCCCGGGCCGGGGGGGGGGGAATAAACTCTCCGGAGCCTCCGGCAGTGGGATCCATCCCTAGGAAAGTGGGATCGATAAAATGCTTCCTGAGTGGCGAAAGGAAGGAATGAAATCCTTGCAACTTTTCTCTCTCCAATGCAGAAGTTCTGGGAAATCTCAAGGCAAATCCACGACTTCATGACATGGAAGCAGGTTGAATGTCCTTTCGAGAAGGATAAGAAAATCCAGAGTTATCTTCTCACGGCACCTATCTATAGCGAGGAAGGTGAGACACCCCCTTCCCCGGCAGTCGCCCCACAATATGACCTTTTCTCCACTCACCTGCCTCTGAGCCCCTCCTCTGGGTTGTGCCACCCGTGCCTGCTATTCATATTGGCAGGGCTCTTTTTGTAGAAAAAGCCCAGCAGGAACTCATTAGCATAATAGGCCACACCCAACAGCAGAAACTCATTAGCACATTAGGCCACACCCACGTGTTACCAGAAGTGTGGTCATCCAGCCACACCCACTTTTTGCTTCTTATTCTGTTTGTTGTCAAAACCCAGGGCTATTTGCATGTTAGGCCACACACCCCGCAAGTAGCCAACCCTAATGAGTTTCTGCTGTTGGGTGTGGCCTATTATGCTAATGAGTCCCTGCTGGGCGTGGCCAACTCAGGAGCCAGCCGGAACTCCGTTCCTGTGCGTTCCTGCCCAAAAATAGCCCTGCATATCGGATGAAACACGGAAGAGCCACCGAGTGTTCACAGCACCAATGGAGCAAGTCTGATGTTCCCCTCCCAGAACAAATAAAGCAGAAACCGTATGAAAATACTCCAGTAGATAGGGGTCCCCAACGTGGTGCACGCTGGGCACTGTGGCATCTACCGACCCCTTTCCTGGCACCCGCCAAGTGTCTTTAGAAAGCGGCCACAGTTTGGCGGGGCTTCTCGCCAGCAAGGCTTCTGATTGGCCCTCGGAGATTTGATTGGCGGGGCAAGTCTTTAAAAACGCTAGTTCGGCAGCTGTTGTCACCAGGGGACGAGGATCTTCACCGTGTGACTGAAGGTGAGCCGTGGCAGCCGTTTTGTGGCTTCGCCCACCAGGCTGCATCAGAATTTCAAAGGTGCCTGCAGGCTGGGAAAGCTAGGGACCCCCTGCATTAGATACTCTTCCACAGTTGGGACTCTGACCTCAAACGGATCTATGGGTGCGTCTGCAGACTGAAATGGCACAGCTGCGTTTGGTCATCCCCTCTGTGTCCAGACCTTAACAATGAGCTCTATCTGCAGGTCTGTAGCAGTCAGGGCTCTTTTTGTAGCAGGAACTCCTTTGCATATTAGGCAACACCCCCCCTAATGTAGCCAATCCTCCAAGAGCTTCCAGTAGCCCCTGTAAGAAGAGCTCTATAAGCTCTTGGAGGATTGGCTACATTAGGGGTGTGTCGCCTGATATGCAAAGGAGTTGCTGCTGCAAAAAGAGCCACAGTGGCCAGGCGTGCCGGCGGCCGCCCCTTCCTCTCCTTCCGCGCTCTAGGCGAGTGCCTAGCTCACCTAGCGTGTGAGCAGGCCCTGCTCTGATACTAGACTAAAGGTGCCAGCCCCCAGAATCACAGGTCATCTCCAGACTGCAGAGATCTGTTCCCCTGGAGAATATTTAATTTATCATTTTATTTATCAACTTTATACTCCTCTACTCCTTCAACAAGTGAGACTCAGGGTGGCTGAAAACAAAGTAAAATAAAATTCAGTATACAATTAAAAGCAGTAAGAATAACAAATACATAATATATACGTAACCCAATTTAAAATCAACCATATAAAACTCCTATTTAATGGCCTAATTTTACTGCTGCCCCTTATTTAGCTGACATTACCTGTGAGCCCTATAGATGGGCCTTTTCTAGAGCCTGTTTTGAGGCAACTCCCTTCCGCCGTACTGCAAGGTAAATTCATTGGATTTCCAGTGCATGAACGTATATGCTCATGCATGGCTAATATGGTGGAATCAATTACTCATGTCCTCCTGTTCTGCAGATTCTATCAGGAAGAACGAGACCGTCTTATACTACCCCTTCTCTCTAGATTTAGCCCTTTGCAGTTTTATCTTGACTTTAGGCCAGAAGTGCTTTGTAAATTCCTCTTAGAAGTCATTCAGAGCTCAGTGACTTACGCTGTGGCAAAATTTTGTTGCTTGGCTATTAGGAAACGTAAACTTATTTTAGCTGAAAAAATTGCGTGGTTCTCTTATTAGCATTACTTTATTTTACTAGTTTTACTGATTTTCTCTTGCTAATGTTTTTGTACTATCCCTATGTTATTACTGTTTTAAGCCTTCTTATATCAGAATTGTACTGTTTGACTGGCTCCTGCTGTAATAAATTCAATCAGATCAGATCGGAACTCCTGTTTAAAACATGACACCATCCGGCAACAAAATGGATGCTTTGTAATTAAATCAGATCAGATCAGAACTCCTGTTTAAAACATAACACCATCCGGCAACAAAATGGATGCTTTGGGGGGGTGGATCCTCTGGCAATGAGGTCCCCTCCCCTCCCCAGGCTCCGCCCCCAAATTGCCAGGAGTCCCCCAATCTGGATCTGGCAACCCTAGCCCCCCCCTTACTGGGCAACCCTATACCAACACCCTACCATTGCACCGTATGGTCTACTTGGACCAAAGCTGGAATGGCATGAAGATCTGGCTTCTGGGTGGTGGTCGTCGTAAAAAGAAAGCCGTCCAACATCTGTGTTCTGTCTTCCTCCCCTTCAGCTTTGTTTATCGCATCCTTTGAAAGCGAAGGTCCGGAGAACCATATGGAGAAAGACAGCTGGAAGACGCTCAGGTAAAACCCACCGCTTTCTTTTGACCTCTCGTTTCTCCACACAGACTGACCTGCTGCGGATACTGTTGAGCCGAGAAAAGGCAACCCAAAGGCAGAGCGAGGCACTGCAATGAGGCAGTGGAATGGTGGAGGGCATCATGTTAGCACCAGGTTCCAGAGGCTGGGTTGCCGGGACGAATGCCGCCCCATATAAAACTCTCCCTACGTGTAGTACACTAGCATACTTCCAGTGGGACACAGAAGTAACCTAGGTGGAATGCAGAATTTTAACAACAACGACCAGGGGTCATTTCCTGCAGGAGCGCACAGGAACGGAGCTCCGGCAGTAAAGAGCCCAGGGGGCGGGCACATGCAACAAGCCCCACCCCCTGCTCCCAGCAGCCCTCAGTCAGAGCAAGAAGCAGCCAGGTAAGCTGCAGAGCTCCCCCCGGCCCCCTGGCCCCAAACAGTCCAGTGGTACCTTTAAGACCAAGTTCTATTCAGGTACGAGCTCTCCCTCCTCTGCATGGGTTCTGTAAGGGAAGATCTTGTCTCACTAACCTGTTAATGTTCTTTGAGGGGGTGAACAAACATGTGGACAAGGGGGATCCAATAGATATTGTTTACCTTGACTTCCAGAAAGCTTTTGATAAAGTTCCTCATCAAAGGCTCCTAAGCAAGCTCAAAAATCATGGGATAAAAGGACAAGTCCTTTTATGGATCAAAAACTGGCTAATTAATAGAAAACAGAGAGTGAGTATAAATGGGCAGTTCTCCCAGTGGAGGGGGGTAAGCAGTGGGGTACCACAGGGATCAGTACTTGGTCCACTGCTTTTTAACTTGTTCATTAATGATTTGGAGTTGGGAGTAAGCAGTGAAGTGGCTAAATTTGCAGATGATACGAAGTTGTTCAGGGTGGTGAAAACCAGTGAGGATTGTGAGGCACTCCAAAGGGATCTGTCAAAGTTGGGCGAGTGGGCGTCAACATGGCAAATGGGGTTCAATGTGGCCAAGTGCAAGGTGATGCACATTGGAGCCAAAAATCCTAACTATAAATACACGTTGATGGGGTCTGAACTGGCAGAGACAGATCAAGAGAGAGATCTTGGAGTTGTAGTAGATAACTCACTGAAAATGTCGAGACAGTGTGTGACTGCAATAAAGAAGGCCAATGCTATGCTGGGGATTATTAGGAAGGGTATTGAAAACAGTCACTGGCTGGGGTCTCTTTTGTACATAAGCAGCCTTTTGACTTACAAAAAGAAAATACGTGCTCGATATTTCGCATCGACTCGAAGGCACTTAAAAAGTGAAGGATTTTTGTTTTTTTAAAAAAACTATTTTAAAAAAATTTAAGGGCCGGGCCCTATTCTCAGAGATGAAATGGATTGTGGGGAGGCGGTATCCGTGGAGATGTCTTATGAGAACGGCATCCAGATCTTTATTTTTATGTTTGACGCCTTCCACCTAAAACACGCACCCTTCTCAAACGGACTCGGCGCACTTACGAGTTCAAGCGCTCCACTCCACCTTCATTCAGCCTCGGAAGACAAACGAAGGCTGATGAGCTTGGAATCAGCAAGGTTTCCACAGACTGAAAGAGGTACAAGAACCCCCCCCCGGGGATTAACATGAACCGGTATGCTAAATCAGCTTATAAGCACAGAGCCCTTGTCAAACGGGGACACCCAGTTTGGGCCCTCTGAGATCTGGCTTCTCCTGCTCCCTCATTCCCCAAAATGCAGAGGTAGGGGATTCCCCGCCACAGATCTCGTGCTCCCCCCCCAATTGTTTCCTTGCTGCAACTGATGAAGTTTTCATCCATTTAAAAACAAAAAACCCTCATGCCACAATGCGTTTGTTAGTTCGAAGCTAGTTTGTTGTTTTCACCTGCAAGGGAGTTAACCCCACAGCTTTTCTGACATCGATCCTTCGTGTCCTGACCAACATTCCCTCTAAGCTGAGTTAGCGTGAGCTGGCTCACAGTTTTTTAGCCTCCGGCTCATACATTTTTGTCTCAGCTCAGGAAGGATGGCTCTGGAGCAAACTAACTTATGCAGTAGCCAAATCGCTCGCTCGCAACTTTACTGCCAGTCGCTCACCAAGTAGAATTTTTGCTCAGACTCCACAGCTTAGAGGGAGCATTGGATTTGCGACTATCCCTCATTTAGTTCAATTCTTTTTGTTTGGAGGCTGTCTGCCCTGCCTCATTTTGGAGAGCTCTCCAGTACTGTGTGTCTTAGTAGGGCTGCCAACTGCGGGTCGGACAATTCCTGGAGGTTTGTGGGTGGAGCCTGGGGAGGGGAGGAGCCCCTGACTCCACCCACCAAAGCAGCCATTTTCTCCAGGGGAACTAATTTCTGTCACCTGACAATCAGTTGTAACCTCAGATCTCCAGGCCCCACTTGAAGGTTGGAGACCCTAGAGCCCATAGATACATGGCCATAGAATTAAGTGGTACACTTGTCCAGTTTGGTGTCATGGTTAAGTGTGCGGACTCTAATCTGGGAGAGCCGGGTTTGATTCCCCACTCCTCCACTGGCACCTGCTGATGTGACCTTGCTCTCTCTGGCACAGCTGTTCCTGAAAAAGCAGTTTGTGTCAGAGCTCTCTCAGCCCCACCCACCCCACAGGGTGTCTGTTGTGGGGAGGGGGGAGGAAAAGGAGTCTGTAAGCCACTCTGAGACTCCAAGTGAAGGGCGGGGTATAAATCCGATCTCTTCTTCTTCTTCTTCTAGAGCGGTGGGCAGTGGTTTGCATGTTCAGATAGAAAAATCATGTAAGAAGAAGAAGTCTAATCCAGCTCTCCCCTCCTCGATATTCAAACTTCACACGTGTTCTCATGGGGAGCATTCAAAGACGCAACCTTGTACCTCTTTAGGCTGCGGGTGACCAGTCCAGCCCGAGCTTTACCCAAGTGATTTTGGCAACGATCTCTGCTGACCCTGGGCTGCAGGGAAACACTACAGCCCCGGGACTCCTCGTCTCCTTTAGCCTGGCCTTAAAACGACGGCAGCTGGACAGCTGCTTCCCTCGTACATCAGAGAATAGTGCCTTACAAGGTACTGAAATCGTCTAGCGTACCTTCTTCTACAACTCCGGTTGGAAGCAAGCAAAATAAAAATATGGATGTCTTTTGGTTTAAAAAAAAAAGAAGAAGAGGAAAACCGGCGACATCTTTGTAAATAAACTGGAAGAGAACAGCACACAAACAAGAGTATGCCTGTCTACGTGTTAATGGTGCAGCAACACTTCTTTTTGTTAAAAGGATTGGCAAAGGTAAAACGGGAAAGCGGCTAAATCTCTCTTTCCTCACCTGTCCCCACTTTTACTGCTCCTTGAGAACATGTTGAGTTTACATTTGCCTTTTGTTTATCAGGGATTTTTGACGTTTGGGGCGGGGAGTGGGGAAGAGGCAGATGTACGATCATCACAATCTCGTCAGAACTGGCAATGGTGCATTCGTGCATTGGCTTCTGGATAGTTTTGGACAGCACTCAAAAGGTGGCATCAAAAATGGTTCAAATAAATAATAAAGGCTGATATTAGTTACAGGGCATGAATGGTAAAGAACCCCGCTAATGTTTAAAGGTGGCATTTTTACAAGAAGTTCCTTTGGCAGGGTGAGGTCAGGTTGAAGATGACGCCATCTTATAAAAGGGGGTAACACATTTGGGAAACTCTAGTTGGTGGCCAAATTCACTACCGTCAGAGTTATCAATCCATGACCACTTGATAAGCGAAGCAGAGCTTCCCCCCCATCACATTACTGATACCTGTAATCATAACATCAATATGAATTCACCCTTCATTGTCCAACTTCTGTTGACATTTTGAACCTTGTCGCCAATCAAACTGGGTGGAAGGGATTTCCAGAGGTCATTTCAGCAATCCACAATACGTCTAGTATGATTACAGCTGTACAATCCCCAGTTCCAAGCTGACAAACATTTCAGAGCCATCCTCGTTAACTTTTCCCCGTTGCTTTGGAAAGCGTTTTTTAATCGCTGCAAATCTTGTTGTCATTTTAAGTCATTCTTTCTTGGAACCATCGTATTATCCCACTGGCTCCTTTGGAGACATTATGTTTGGTTCACATGTGCGTGATCTACCACTTGGTTACTCAGGGCTTCTCTGCATGCTCATTTTCCTCGCTCGTGTCGCTTCGTGGGAGGGGCGTCCGTTTTTGCACGTGTTTTTGCTCCCTCTAATGGCCAGTTCGATATTACAGTGTTTGATGTGTGCAGGGAGATATGCTGGACATAGAGTAATGCAATATCAAATTGACCACTAGAGGGAGCCAAAGACACGCAGAAGAGAACAGGAACACACAAGTGAGGGAAATGCAAATACTGGAAAGCCCTTCATTGGCACCTTCACGTCTGAACAGACCTCGTCAAAAAGTATTGTATCTGAGATGCTTACACAAACAGGTCAACAGCTGGTGGTTTATAACCATGCACAGGTGAACCAGCCCATAATAGCACAGCTGTCCATTCAGAACAATACATATTTTGTAGAGCTGGCATTAGAGGAAGCCAGCTTTAAAAATATTATGTCAGATGCCCAAGAGTAAGATGGACCAATCCCTACAAGAGACAGGTGAAGCTGCCCAGACCCTCGGTCCATCAACGCCTGCGTGGTCTACTCAGGCTGCCAGCCACTCTCCAGGGTCTCAGGCGGAGGACTTCCACAATGACCTGGTCCTTTTAGCTGGAGGTGTCAGATAACTGGGCCTTCTGCATGCCAAGCAGATGCTCGACCGCTGAGCCACAGCCCCTCCCCAACTACAATTAGGGGCATATTCTAAAATTAATGGAACCAGCCAATTTGAACTTCTTTCTCATTGTTCTCGAGGTTATGGCTAATTCACTGATAAGAGTCCTTACCAGTGTCCCCTCTAAGCTGAGTGAGTGTGAGCTCGCTCACAGTTTTTCAGCCTCCGGCTCACACTTTTTTGTCTTAGCTCAGGACGGATGGCTCCAGAGCGAACTGATTTATGCAGCAGCCAAATCGCTCGCTCAC